TATATATATATATATAAATAATCAAATCTTCTAGAATTGATAAAAAAAAAAACGTAATCAATTGGAACAATCTGGCACACTGTTTCCAATTCATTTGGCATATTAACACTCGGGACGATCTTGGACTCTTGAAATAGAAATTCAAGTATATCTCATTATGATATACTCGAATGCGTATTTCTTTTATAATACCACGTGTTTGTACATCATCTTGAAGCTTGCTCCGGAAGCAAAAAAAAAAAAACATTTCCATATTTCTATTAGAGTGCACATGATAACTCAATAATAATGTATTATGCAAAATAAGAGAGTTTACTTTGAATGATTTTTATTGATGCTTTTTATATATAAAATATTTTATTCTTATAAATTAGAGATTAAATAAGGAAGTTTACCAATTAAGTACTAATTTAAGAAAGTTCTAATTATATAATATTTTGTATAGTTATGCAAACCTATAATTTAGTTAATCAGATATCTTTATCTCAATACTCTCTCTCAAGTTGGTAAATGATGAATATATTCTTAACTTCTTTAACAATCTCCTAAAAATTTAACTTGTCATAGTTTTGACAAGAATATCCATCAGTTGATCTTCAAATCGAATATTAGACAATTATAGAATATTTTCATCAAGTTTTTCTTTGATGAAAAATCTATCTAACCTCCACCTGCTTCATACGATCATGTTGGACAGGGTTATGGGTAATGTCACGCACAACTTTATTATCACAATATAACTAAATGTGACATGTATGTACATATCCTAAATCCTAGAGAAGTAGTCTAAACTACAAACCTTCAATGAATTCAAGAACCATTAGTTCAGCTTCTGCAGTGGATTTCTCACTTCTCCATGTGACAAGCTTACCTTCTACAAATGTGAAGTATCCACAGGTTGATCTTCTATCATCAAGAGCACTTGCCTAATTTGCATCAATATAAACCATCACATCCTGGTAGTTGGAGTTCTTCTTGAACAAATTCCTTTTCCAGGAGTAGCCTTTATGTATCTTAAGATTTGTATGACAACATTCATGTGTTTTTCACCTAGATTGTGCATGAACTGACTAACCACACTAAGAGCATAAGCTAAATCTGGTCTAGTGTGTGTGAGATACATCAATCTTCCTATAAGTCTCTGATATCTTTCCTTGTCAGTTGGAGTTTGATCTTTTCAATCAGACAACTTCAATCCCCCTTCAATTGGAGGATTTGTTGGTTTACATGTCATCCCAATTTCTTTCAACAATTCAATGTGTACTTTCATTGAGACAAAAAAAATGCCTAACTTTGATCTTGAGACCTAAATTCCAAGAAAGTACTTCAAAGGTCCAAGATCCTTCATTTCAAATTCCTTTGCCAAATATTCTTTAAACACATTGCGTTCCTATAGATCATCTCCTATTACTACCATGTCATCAACATAAACAATAAGATTTGTAATCTTTCCTTCTTTTTTCTTTAGAAACAGGGTATGATCTTGTTGCTTTGTTAATATCCAAACGTAATCATTAACTTGGTGATTCTATCAAAACACGCTCAATGTATCATGAAAAAATACATCTATAGTAGTGAACATTTGCTTGGTTTGTGAATGATAGAATTGGTATCCTTTCAAGTAGCATAGCCAGGGAACACACTTTTCAACTCTATGAGACAACTTACTTCTCTAATGCATATGTAAGTGAACATAAGCAACACAACCAAAAACTCTGTGTTAATTTAGCAATTCTAGGACTTACTATTGCATCCATAAGTAATTGAAGAGGTGTTTTATACTCAAGAGATCTGGACGGTGTTCGATTGACAATGTATATTGCATATGCAAGAGCTTCTCCCCAATATATTGCTGGTATATGAGCTCCAATTAGTGCAACTCGAACCACCTCCAATAGATGACGATTCTTTTTTTCTTTTTTTTTATTTCTGTCACATTGTTTAGTTGTGGAGTTTTGGGCAAAACTTCTGAAGAACAATTCCTTCAACTATAAATTTTTTTGAAGTTTTGATTGCATATACTCTCCTCCATTGTCACTACATAGTACCTGAAATTGTGCTTTGTATTGAGTTTCAATCATTTTTCAAAATTTCTTAAATAGTCCTCCAACTTAACTTTTAAACTTCATCATACAAATCCGAGTCATTTAAGTACAATCATCAATGAATGTTACAAACCATGTTGAGCCATCCAATGTTGTAACCATAAATGGACCCCATATTACAGTGAATAATCATAAACAAAAGAGAACTTTTATTTGAAATTAAAGGAAAATAAGTTTTGTGACTTTTTGTAAGCTCATAAACATCACATACAAAGTTGAAGTGTCTATTTAATCAAATACATTTAGAAATAATTTCTTTATGTAACCAAAAGATGCTTGTCCTAGACGTTTATGTCATAACCAAATATCCTCACCTTTTCTTACTTCTTGAGACCCTTTTGTCGCTAGCACTTAACTAAGCCTCTCTAAATATATTTCTGTCAAATCTAGGCAATACAACCTTCCTTGTCTAATACCACAACCAATCGTCTTTCCCATTTGAATATCCTTAAAAATACAAGATTCAGGCCCAAAATTTACAACACATAATAAAACTTTGGTTATTTAAGAGACTAACAATAGGTTATATTTTAGAGAAGGAACAACAAGGATAATATCAAGATTCAAATTGTTTGAAATAAAGATAGTTCCCTCTCTAATGATAGTGAATCTACTGCCATTGGCTATAAAAATACTTTTTTTAAAGAAAGGTTTAAGATTTTTAATATGTCTAGCATCAAAAGTCACATGTAGTTGTAGCAAGTACCACGCCTTTGTCATCCTCTTTTTCATTGGTAGTTACGACAGTAGAAACTATATAGATTTTTTTTAATTCTTCTTCAACGCTCGATTGTGATCCCACCGCTCAAGGTATCCAATGATTTCATAGCATTGTTCTTTGGTGTGTCCATCTTTATTACATTGAGTAAACTTGTATTTTTCAAAACATTTTGATTGTTTGGCTTGCTTCTTTGCCATCATAGCTGTGGAATCTAAATTGATATCTTCTATCTTCAATGATGTTTATTGGACTGTCTCTCGTCGAATCAAAGCATAACATTCTTCTAAATCATGTGTTACTTCTTTGTGCAAGATTTCCCCACGAACTTACTCAAAATCATCATCCAATCCAGTAAGGAATATATGTACCCTCAATCTCTCAATTAACTTTTGATATGATTTCACATTATCAATGCCCTTCATGACTACTTTGTCACAATGGTCCAATTCCTTAAAATTCTCAACCAGCTGCCCATAATATTCAGTTAGTGTTCTATTATTGTGTTTTATAGTGAATGCCCTTTAATTCAGGGTAAACTAGGCATGACAATCTAACCCACTCGAACCTGCCCCGATTTGGACGGGAAAAACCCGTGTTTATCGGGTTCGGATTTTTCCCGATTGATAAAATCGGGGGCGGGGATGGAGACGGGGATGTTAATATCCGCCCCACCTCTGCCCCCGCCCCGCCCCCATCCCCGCCC